GTTTTAGTATCTTTTAGTATCTCATTCAATTCGCCCCTATCCACTTTATTCACTTGGCTTAAACCGATTAAACGTGCTTATACACACTAACATTTTAAATAAAATTACAAATCTGAGCAGGGATTATGACATTAATAACTTAACGAAAATGCCAAGTTACGACTACCAAATACAAAATAAAATCCCGTACGTCTCCAAGTTCAAACCAGAGTCTAATCAAATGGAGAGTAAGTTGAGGTAAATTAGAGCAAAAAAAAGTACTGTGCTGGCTGTACAATTTCGAAGCTTAGAATCAATAATCTTAATTTCATATTTGGTAACTCTAAATTCGAAGCTGTGTCACCCACCGAAATTTAGAACCCATTGTTGATCGGTGCGCGGGCATTCACGTGCTAGACATGCGCAACGATTTACGCACAATGAAACAAAAGCGCGCCAAAAACTAGTTCTAAAATCGACAAAGTTTTTTGGTTTTGAAAGTTGTGAGATAATAGAATATATGATATCGTTGACTTTAAATTATACACCTGATAGCTTATTTAAGAAATTTTAGTGATACATGACGGTTTTCGTGTTGATTGCGTAAGAATACTTCTAATCACTTCCTGCCATTTATCGCCATTTTTCCATTGTAGAAGTGAGAGGAAGATATTGGGGTCTCAAAATCTGCAATTTTAACTGATCCAGAGAGTAAACTTCGCTATTTTAAAGAAAACAAGAGATTTATATCTTCGGAAACTACCAAGGTACAAAATGTCCCACAGAGATAGAGCTTTTGACTCAAATAGTAGATCAGACCGGCGTGGGTAAGTACTCTGTTCAAAGATGGCTTTGCGCTGATTCACGTAGGATATTGAAAATGACATTTAGCCACGTTGAAGCGACTTTAAGTAATAAATATGAGAGTAAGCCGTTAATAATGATCGAAAAACTTTTATGTAAATGTTGTCTCAGCTAGACTTGCGATGCTTTAGAACAAAAAAGGATCATTTGTGGAATTTCGAAATCAAGCCACCATTTTGAATTTTTCTCATTTTTTCTCAGTTTAATAAAGGGAATCTAAAAGTAGCCTGGTCTCTTTCAAAGCCACCTGACTGTGCTCAAGAAAAACTTGTATTTACCTATTTTCAGCGTATAACGAATATTAATTTTGCAGGTTTGGAGGTGGTTCAAGGTTTGGCAATGACCGAGGGGGATCTCGCTTCAGTGGAGGAGGCTATGGTGGCGGCAGTGGATTTGGTGGAAGAGGCGGTGGTGGATTTGGAGGAAAAGGAAGAGACAAGCTGGACACCAACCCTGGTGATAGATTAAGAAAACCTAGATGGGATATGGAAAAACTCCAACCCTTTCATAAAAACTTTTATCATGAGGCCCCAAGCGTATCAGCAAGAGGAGAAGTAAGGACACCTTATCAGGGATAATCATTATTTTATTTTACACAGTCTTGATTGAAATAAGTCAAAAATAACACCGCATTGTAAATAAAGATGTTTTTATTGATGATTATTATGTCTCTTTGGTGATTTGCGATAAAAAAGCAAAATAAGAGTATTGATGTAAGGTACAAATGGTTTTTCCACTCTTATTTGAATTTAGGATTGCAGTATCTTAAATGACCTTTTCAAATGTTTTCTAGCCTGAAATTACCGCTTTCATGAGAGCCCACCAGATTACAGTAAAGGGAAGAAATGCCCCTAAACCTGTGATACAATTTTCTGAAGGAAACTTTCCAGGTATGTTGTAAAACTTGTGTTCATTTCATGAAATCATCGTGCTTGTACTTTTTTTTTAATGAAAATATGATAGCTATCATCCTGATTGTTGTTAAGCATAAATAATGCATAGTGTTTTGGTTGACTGATTTTATTGTTGCTCTTCAGATTACATCATGAATATCATCAAGCAGCTGGGCTGGAAAGACCCAACAGCTATACAGTCCTATGGATGGCCCATTGCTTTAAGTGGGAAAGATTTAGTGGGAATTGCACAAACTGGTTCAGGAAAAACACTGGCTGTAAGTTTTTGTGATGCATGCTTTAAAATATTTTATAAAGCGTTTGCATGAAATGGCTGTGATGCATTTGTGCTTAAATTGAATAAAAATAATTCATGTTAAAAAGTGCTGATTGTAAACATTTTCTTTTTCAGTTCATCCTACCTGCTATTGTACACATTAATCACCAAGAATATCTTCAGAGAGGAGATGGACCAATTGTAAGTATCATATCTCATAATTGATTAGATTAAAAAAAAGAGATTATTTTAGTGATATTGAACATCTTAGAATGGATTTAACTGTTACACGTAGTAATACATCTTTCTAAATTTATAGTGTTTAGTTTTGGTGCCAACAAGAGAACTAGCACAGCAAGTCCAACAGGTTGCTACTCAGTTTGGATCCACTTCGAGACTGAGGAATGTATGTGTGTATGGAGGAGCACCAAAGGGACCACAGATTAGGGATTTGGATAGAGGTAAGTTGAAAACCATGGTTGATACATCGAATAACAGTTAACTATTAGTTTAACTAATGGAAAAAATGGTTGTAAGGCCAGGGAAAAAAATTATTTCTGTGGAATTAAACTTCAGTTATTTTTGATTATACATCCTCCTGATAGAAATAACCCCTAATCAGAATAGAAGGTAATGATGTATCACTTCTTTTACCCAGGTGCTGAAATCTGCATTGCAACCCCAGGTAGGCTTATAGATTTGCTTGAATGTGGCAAGACTAATCTACGGCGTTGTACATACCTCGTGTTAGATGAAGCTGACAGAATGCTGGACATGGGTTTTGAACCACAGATTAGGAAGATTATTGAACAGATCAGGGTAAGAAGCTACTGTAGTAAATCTTCTCTGGAAATTTTGTGCTATTTATGTTCCAAATATGAATAAACAGTAGTGTTTGTTATTAATACCCCTAAAGCAACTCTAAAAATTTTAATTCAACTTGACTCTGTAGCTAAAAATGTTTGATGTAAAAAAGGTTTAAGCATCCATTTCTGTGTCCATTTTAGCCTGACCGTCAAGTATTGATGTGGAGTGCTACGTGGCCCAAAGAAGTTAGAAGTTTGGCAGAGGAGTTTTTGCAGGAATATGTCCAGATCAATGTTGGAGCACTACAGTTGTCAGCAAATCACAATATCTTGCAGATCATAGATGTTTGTGCAGATAATGAAAAGGACTTCAAGTAAGTGTGATCAAATGTTTGTTTATACTACTACACAACTTGGAATTTGGTTCCTAATATCTATAGGTAAAGTGGATTGGAATATGTTTAAGATTTTCTTCCAGAGCAGTGCTGGGAAATATTAAATGCTCTCTGTAGTTGATAGTTGTATAAAGTGATCGTAGAATACTTGTTTTGTCTGGAGTACATGTTTGAATATATATTGTTAGCTTAGTTGAGGCATGGATGCTGAGGCAATTAGTTGCAATCACTCTGCCATCAAAAATTAAATTAACGGTTATTTGAAGTATGTGTTTCCTTTTCCTGTTAACGCAGACTTTGTAAACTACTGGAGGAGATAATGGCAGAGAAAGAGAAAAAAACTATAGTTTTTGTGGAGACCAAGCGACGTGTGGAAGACATCACGAGGAAGATGCGGAGGGAGGGGTGAGAGTGGAAGAATATATGTCGTATATATGTGTATATATAATAGTTTTATCAATAGAATGCTTAAATATGCCTGCGGATTTGTTCCTAGGCTGGGCAAACTCCTTGAGGAGATCATGGCTGAAAGGGAAAACAAGACCCTGGTTTTTACAGAAACCAAGCGCAGGGCTGATGACCTTGGCAGACGTATGAGGAGGGATGGGTATGCAGTGTACACTGTTACCTTCTGCTTCTTATGTAGCACAGGTTTAACACTAAGCTTTGCTGCAGTCTTGCTGTGATCAAGGGGGGAGGGGTGTTTTGTTGAAAATACCAATTACTATTTTAAATGTTAATTCACCGTAACATATTTGGGGCAAATAATGTTTTAAAACGGTAATTCTGGTTTTTTTCCCCAAGATTGTCTGATTTTACATTTTCAAAACTTTGTCCATAAACGTTTTAGTTGCCTTGTAGTCATAGATCAGTCTTTGGTCCAGTTCTTGTTAACTCATTTAGCTATAACCTTACTGTTTGTTTACTACCATCTAAAATAAGGTATTTTTAAGTTTTAAATATTTGAAATTGCCATTGCTGTTTTGGATCTGTAAAACACTCCTGTGAGCTGATCACCGTTTTTTCAATTGGATTTTTAAAGATATCTGAAACACATTATTGAATCAAGCTGCAAAAGCTGCTTGCTTTTTGCAAATATAAACATGCTTTATCATGCCTGGATATTGTCTCCAGAGCAGTTAAAGGTAGTTTGAATACAAGCATTTTTCAGTTAACATTATTGTCAATGTATACGTTTGATCTTCAAAATATGAATGTGAGTTTTTTTCAAGTGGTGTCACCAGTGATGGTTAACTTGCATGTTGAAGGTCATCCTGCCTGAAATTTTACATTGGCTGGCAATCAGTTGGTCAAGTTGTATTCCAATATGAAAAATTTGAGTGTTTGTGCTTGAAAATGTTTGGAGCTTTAGAAGAAGTGGGTTAGAAAACCTTCACTGACTTACATTGGTTTCCATGAACTTATTGATTTTATATTAACACTTGTGTGTTTCAATCCTAACGTTTCTACTATTCTCTTTTAATAAAGCTAACATTTGTCTTTTGTATTTATTACTGTTTTCATTGTTTAGGGTTTTATTTTTCAAACTATTTTAAATATCTGGGAGGTTTGAAAAATGAAGCAATCACTTTTTACCTTCAGGTGGCCAGCAGTTTGCATTCATGGAGACAAATCTCAACCTGAGAGAGATTATGTACTTAATGGTAGGTTACTTGGGTCATTCATTTTATGATAAGCATATTGTTTTACGAAGGTGAAAGAATTTTTAATACGAGGTTAATTTTAACATTTGCATTGTGTAATGTGTGTACATATGCATAATGTGCTATTTGTACTTTTCCAGAATTCAAAAATGGAAGAACTCCGATCTTGGTTGCTACAGATGTTGCTTCACGTGGATTAGGTTTGTACTTTGTAGTTAAGAAAAAATTTAATTATGTTATGAATCTATATAAAATCACTTTTAGTATATTTTCCTGAAAATTAAAATGAAATGTTTAACTTTTGAAAATGCAGATTTCAAATTTGGTTAGACAGATTGTAATCATTGTTTTGCTTGTTATTGGATAGTTGTTTACACTGATCTTGTCTCAGTTACTTTTGACAGATTTTCTTGTGGCAGGACCTAGCCGGCATGACATACTGGTAAGCTTTTGGGAGGCATTATACACAAAGAGCTGCTCTAGTTTGAAACACAGATGTGCATTAAAGTGGCATGATTGGGTTAACATGTCAACATATTTAGTGCTATGGTGTGTTGTGTGATGGGTAAAAGCTAGTGGTCTGTGCAGAATGGTATTTCTAACCCTTTTCAAGAAGGATTACTTCCTCCATTCTCTTTTGATATTGTTGGTTTTTTGATGTTTGGGGATAATAGTTTTGAAAAACTGTGGGAATAGACATTAAGCAACTAAAGTTTACAAGACTGCTGGCACCAATTGATGTGCGGACAACACCCATACGCAAAAGGAAAATGCACCACCTAAAGTATACATGACTTAGCAGCTGTCTTTGGTGTTTAGAATGAACAAACCTCCCTGTACTGCAGCGCATAGTGGGTCATGTCGGGATATCTGCCAGTGTACATTATTTGGATGATATGGCTGATCGTTTTCCATGTTGGACTTTGCTGTAAAGAAAAATAGCAGAATAGTACTTTAAAAGTTTTCTGGCATGTTGAAGCTTTAAAATTTTGGGATAATGTTTTTACTTTCGGAACTCCATCTTGCTCCATATGTTTCTTATGATGGGCTTTTTAATGGAACCTGCTGCTCCGTAAGTAGGATACATTCTGATGCCCTCATTAAGAAGATCAGAAGAGTTTTATTGAAGCAAAGTACCAGTGTATAAACTGCATGCTGCCCATTTGGGAGGCCCTCTCAAACAGTGTTGGAGACTGGTTTTAAAATGCTGCAGCATACCCTGGGGTTACAGGTTGTTTATAAACTGACAAATGGCATGGAAGAAAGAAGAAGAGTGAACATTGGTGAGTGTACATAACCCAGGGTAACATTTGCTCCAACCTAGGAGAGGTTTCCTGCACACGGCATATGCGGTAAGTTGGGGGTCGATGATCAGCCATGCATTTAGGGTTGATATTAATCTATTGACAGATGTTGTTTATAGATATTTCCATACAGAGGAAGATCTAATCTAATCAAAGTCTCTTATTAGGCCAAGAAGAAGGTGCTTCAACTTAGAAGCTTTGACTGACATTCTTTTTCTCTTACTTTTTTTCCAACTTGTTATGGTTTTGATGTATTCAAAAACCGTAACAAATCACAGATGTGGAGGATATCAAATTTGTGATAAACTACGACTACCCATCGTGTTCTGAGGATTACGTACATCGCATTGGTAGGACTGGCCGAAGTAACAATACTGGCACAGCTTACACCTTCTTCACACCTGACAACGTCAAGCAGGCCAGCGACCTCATTGGTGTTCTGAAGGAGGCCAATCAGGTCATCAACCCAAAGCTCATGCAGCTGGCTGAAGCAAGCAGAGGCCTTGGCGGAGGACGTATGTAAAGTTTTTTTGTTTGTTTTAGTTACAACATCAGTCGTCAATTGTATGTGGCATACAAAAGCGTAATTATAGCAATGCACAGCAGAGATGTTATTTGCTCTTGTATGTTTTATACAGTGAAGGGCGAATAATTGTAACGGACTTATCCAACAGCTGGTGCTTTGAACAATAGGATGAGCACTTGTATTTTGCTTCAGTGCTCAAAAGCATGTGAAAGTGCAGGCAAGCTTTTAAGGGAAACACGAGTGTCATTATCCTATTGCTTGAAGCCCAGGATGTGCAATAAGTAATGTTATTATAAAAATTTTTTGTCATCAGTGTGACTTTGACTACATGTTCAAATCTTTAAGTGAAAATTATTGTTTGCTTATGTGATAACTTGGAAAATGAGCTGTTTTGATCATGACTTGAATAATACCAATAGTTTTGAACAATTGATATATATTATTTCTCCAGAGAAAGTTATACTAAAAAGGGTTCGTGAATAGTATATAACATTTGGGAAAACTTGGGCTCTTTTCAGGTCGTCGTTACAGAGGAGGCACTGGTGGAGGCAGGAACTCTCGTGGTGGAGGAAACAGTGGAGGGTATCGCGGTGGACATGATTTGCGCAACAGAGAAAGTCGTTTTGGAAGTGATAGAAGCTATGGGGGTGGGGACAAGAGTTATGGGGGAGGGGATAAAAGTTATGGTGGCAGTTCTAAGAATGGTTATGGCAGTTATGGTAGTCAGACGTCATCAAAGGGACCAGGAGTTAAGCCTTTGATGCAAAGCGTTGTCCAAACAGCACCACAGACCAATGGCCACGCAGCACATCCACCACCTCCAGCTGCCCCTGCTTCAGGAAAAGCTGCCCCAGCAACTAATGGTTCTGGTGGCATGCAAAACCTCCAGCAGATGGCGATGATGTACAGTCAGTGGATGACACAAGGTCAGGCACCACCCACACAGGCTAACAGGAGTTATACTGGCTACCAGTATCAATAGAAATGTGTTCTAGTAACTTATTTAGAACTTTGTTTCCGTCATTGGTAAGTACACAATTATGGGTCCCTTTTCTGAAAACCATACCATGTATATTAATGGGATCTTTTAAGTTTGTTTTGGTGTAATTTCAGATTGAGTTTGATTGCATTGAAGTGGTATGCTGAATTTTCAGTAGGGGGAACTGTGACTGTGTACAGACATTTAAATTAAATAAAAACTAGAGGACCATTCGTGTACAGACAATAACTGACTACTGAACTATTTCAGGTATATGTGAATGATTTTAATGGAACTTGATAATGAGTTGTGTTCTAAGGATTTCTAGGATAAGCAGAGGGGTTTCTGGGATAAGCAGGAAGGGGAGGGGGGTGTCCAGTTATGATTTTATTTCAGTGTTAGAATATATATGTGGCTTTAAACACAAAGTAATAAAAGTATTTAATTAACTACCACTGTTCTTGCTACTTTCATTAAAAAGATGCTGTTTTATCTGCACATTTTCTCATTCTTATAATTCGGTGCATAGTGTGTGAGAATGTAATAGCGGTGGTTTTAAANTACAACATCAGTCGTCAATTGTATGTGGCATACAAAAGCGTAATTATAGCAATGCACAGCAGAGATGTTATTTGCTCTTGTATGTTTTATACAGTGAAGGGCGAATAATTGTAACGGACTTATCCAACAGCTGGTGCTTTGAACAATAGGATGAGCACTTGTATTTTGCTTCAGTGCTCAAAAGCATGTGAAAGTGCAGGCAAGCTTTTAAGGGAAACACGAGTGTCATTATCCTATTGCTTGAAGCCCAGGATGTGCAATAAGTAATGTTATTATAAAAATTTTTTGTCATCAGTGTGACTTTGACTACATGTTCAAATCTTTAAGTGAAAATTATTGTTTGCTTATGTGATAACTTGGAAAATGAGCTGTTTTGATCATGACTTGAATAATACCAATAGTTTTGAACAATTGATATATATTATTTCTCCAGAGAAAGTTATACTAAAAAGGGTTCGTGAATAGTATATAACATTTGGGAAAACTTGGGCTCTTTTCAGGTCGTCGTTACAGAGGAGGCACTGGTGGAGGCAGGAACTCTCGTGGTGGAGGAAACAGTGGAGGGTATCGCGGTGGACATGATTTGCGCAACAGAGAAAGTCGTTTTGGAAGTGATAGAAGCTATGGGGGTGGGGACAAGAGTTATGGGGGAGGGGATAAAAGTTATGGTGGCAGTTCTAAGAATGGTTATGGCAGTTATGGTAGTCAGACGTCATCAAAGGGACCAGGAGTTAAGCCTTTGATGCAAAGCGTTGTCCAAACAGCACCACAGACCAATGGCCACGCAGCACATCCACCACCTCCAGCTGCCCCTGCTTCAGGAAAAGCTGCCCCAGCAACTAATGGTTCTGGTGGCATGCAAAACCTCCAGCAGATGGCGATGATGTACAGTCAGTGGATGACACAAGGTCAGGCACCACCCACACAGGCTAACAGGAGTTATACTGGCTACCAGTATCAATAGAAATGTGTTCTAGTAACTTATTTAGAACTTTGTTTCCGTCATTGGTAAGTACACAATTATGGGTCCCTTTTCTGAAAACCATACCATGTATATTAATGGGATCTTTTAAGTTTGTTTTGGTGTAATTTCAGATTGAGTTTGATTGCATTGAAGTGGTATGCTGAATTTTCAGTAGGGGGAACTGTGACTGTGTACAGACATTTAAATTAAATAAAAACTAGAGGACCATTCGTGTACAGACAATAACTGACTACTGAACTATTTCAGGTATATGTGAATGATTTTAATGGAACTTGATAATGAGTTGTGTTCTAAGGATTTCTAGGATAAGCAGAGGGGTTTCTGGGATAAGCAGGAAGGGGAGGGGGGTGTCCAGTTATGATTTTATTTCAGTGTTAGAATATATATGTGGCTTTAAACACAAAGTAATAAAAGTATTTAATTAACTACCACTGTTCTTGCTACTTTCATTAAAAAGATGCTGTTTTATCTGCACATTTTCTCATTCTTATAATTCCGTGCATAGTGTGTGAGAATGTAATAGCGGTGGTTTTAAAGCGGTAATGATTTGGAAAGACGTGAACATGTTCAAGATAAAAGCCACTGTATCCATCATTTTGAAATTTCGGACTTTTGTGCAAATAAAACTGGAAACTAAATTTGTTTTTGGCAAATGGTCGTATCACAAAATTTTAAACACTCCTAGCGCATCAGCATAATTTTAAGTTCTCGGCAAATATCTTCTGAAAACCTGTTTGATATAAGCAAATTTTGAATTCTTAGATTCACAGATGTAAAGTGCAAGAAAGGCCTTGCTTACATTTTTGTCTAAGCCAAAAGTGTTGCATCTATACAACTGAAGTTCAATAGACTAAAACGCAAAAAAAAATACCCGTCCCACTTCAACTTTCGCCAAAAAAGTATAAAAAACTCGTCCACAAATATCAATCAGAAGGTCGACCTTGTGAAGCCGAATTTCCAACGAGTATGCAAAGATTTCAACAAATTATATCCAGTCGGATAGTTGGTAGATAGTAAATGTTAATATCGACCACGGCTTCCCTAGGTCGAAATCACTTCGCTGGATGCACTATTTGATATCAAATGAGTTAAAAAAAAAACATTTACAAGTTTGAATGAGTTGACCAGGTCTATAACTTTTTCCTAGCGTGTTCTCACGTGCCTAATAACAGCTTCGGTGAATCAACTGTAACTAAGTCAACTTAATGAAAAACGCAGATGAGGCTATTTACATTAACATCCCCTGCGAAAATTTCTCATTTAACGTTCACTTACGGTTCTCAATCTAATCTATAACATTTGATGTATTATCTTTAACAGTTCCAATGTCGTTCTGTAATGAATGTAACAGATCGAGATGTTTTGGGAAGCCCTTCAAATGTCATAGAACAAATTTAGAACATTTTTCATTCAAAAGAATTTTTCATTCACAGGTTGAGAACCGTAAGTGAGCGTTAAATGAAACAAATTTTCGCAGGTGATGCTTTTCCATCTTGACTTTTGTCTTATTAGACATGGATAGATTTAATCAAATTTGTAAAATGAATTGGACAACTATGTTGCGCCCCCCCCCCCCCCTCTAATTTTTAAAGAGGTCGGTTCAACACGGTGGTTTCGCTTTTGTCAATTTGTATAATTTGAAGCCTTTTGGTGTTCATATTTTATGCATAAGGAGTTTACCAAAAACTAAATACCGAAAGCATTCGACTGTAAAAACATCACTGTCCTCTTGTTTAGTAGTATCAATATTAGTATATGTCAACAATATCCCTTTTACTGGGGTTATTTCTTGCAAGATCGTTTACCGTGCAGACTAACCCAAAAATGACAAGCCCGTATAAATTACTAACTTCTTCACGCTGTAATTAGAAGAAAAAAGTGTTTCTAACAGCAATTATCCAATTGTCTCTTGTTAACCTTCTTACATTAAAAAACCATTTTACTGAAATCTTTTCATTACTGCCATGAAGCAGCATGTAGTTAAATCATTCTGATTTCTGCAAGACTTGGCAGACAACGACCAAAGTTTGAGCCAGCATTCTTTTCTCTCTAATTTAAAAGTTGCTATCTTTAACGAATAAAACAAGTTTTGTTGTCCAAGTTGCTATGGAGCTTGAACAAATGCTATGGACAGACGAAGGTATGAACCGTTTGAGTAAAAAGATGTCATTCCAAGAACAGCGCAGGAAAAACGGGACGTAAGTTCTCTGGTAAAAAAAAATTAGCGGCTGGATACCGAGCTCCCGTTTTTGAATTTCTGACTACCACATGAAAACCTGTCTAGTCTGTCTACATGTTTCTCAATCTCGTGTACGTAATTTTGCGTTTTACAAAATTTGCCAAAATGCGAGTTTTGTGCGCGAATAATGACAACATTCATGTTCTCTCTTCTATCTCTTTTCATTTTAATGACTGTCAGTTTTGGCTACTTTATTATTATTATTAATTTTTAGATATTCATTCATCTCGCATAATAAAATTTAAAAAGCTTATTTTGTGATTTATTTCTCATCAGTGCCGCGTGCATACCGACACATCCATGTGACAAGGCGGAGCACAGGTGTTATGCAGGTCTTGTGCTAGTTCACGCACAGTTTCACACACACACCACTACTTACCATAATATAAACCCTGGATTATGCTTTCAGTGGGCATCGAACCCAAGCCGCCGCTGTCGAGCAGTATGGTCATAGCCTACCTTTCTAGCGTCTCTCTTGAAATGTTACGTAAGGTTCAGTAAAATGCATGTTAAAATTTTCTTTTCTCAGATCATCATAACTTATTTCTTGGTCCTTTTTGCTTAACAAATGTTATTCAAAAATACTATCTATTACAATTTTAATAGAATAATTTTGTTTCGTTTAGATGCGTGCGAAGACTACAATCTTCCTTAAATTTACTTTAATACAGGTATACCGTACATTCTGAAAGACCACAGAAAGCCCAACAGACGGTGTCGTTTCTCCATGCACCAACTTAGTTTAAAAAGAATTTAAGAGCAAGCTTGTTTTTTTTTTTTTTTGTTTGTTTTTTTTTTTTTTTNCACAAAAGCATAATTATAGCAATGCACAGCGGAGATGTTATTTGCTCTTGTATGTTTTATACGGTGGAGGGCGAATAATTGTAACAGACTTATCCAACAGCTGGTGCTTTGAACAATAGGATGAGCACTTGCATTTTGCTTCAGTGCTCAAAAGCATTGGAAGGTCAGACAAGCTTGTAAGGGAAACACAAGTGTCATTATCCTATTGCTTGAAGCCCTGGATGTGCAATAAGTAATGTTATTATAAAATATTTTTGTCATCAGCGTGACTTTGACTACATGTTCAAATCTTTAAGTGAAAATTATTGTTTGCTTATGTGATAACTTGGAAAATGAGCTGTTTTGATCATGACTTGAATAATACCAATAGTTTTAAACAATTGATATATATTATTTCTTCAGAGAAAGTTATACTAAAAAGGGTTCATGAATAGTATATAACATTTGGGAAAACTTGGGCTCTTTTCAGGTCGTCGTTACAGAGGAGGCACTGGTGGAGGCAGGAACTCTCGTGGTGGAGGAAACAGTGGAGGGTATCGCGGTGGACATGATTTGCGCAACAGAGAAAGTCGTTTTGGAAGTGATAGAAGCTATGGGGGTGGGGACAAGAGTTATGGGGGAGGGGATAAAAGTTATGGTGGCAGTTCTAAGAATGGTTATGGCAGTTATGGTAGTCAGACGTCATCATCAAAGGGACCAGGAGTTAAGCCTTTGATGCAAAGCGTTGTCCAAACAGCACCACAGACCAATGGCCACGCAGCACATCCACCACCTCCAGCCGCCCCTGCTTCAGGAAAAGCTGCCCCAGCAACTAATGGTTCTGGTGGCATGCAAAACCTCCAGCAGATGGCGATGATGTACAGTCAGTGGATGACACAAGGTCAGGCACCACCCACACAGGCTAACAGGAGTTATACTGGCTACCAGTATCAATAGAAATGTGTTCTAGTAACTTATTTAGAACTTTGTTTCCGTCATTGGTAAGTACACGATTATGGGTCCCTTTTCTGAAAACCATACCATGTATATTAATGGGATCTTTTAAGTTTGTTTTGGTGTAATTTCAGATTGAGTTTGATTGCATTGAAGTGGTATGCTGTATTTTTCAGTAGGGGGAACTGTGACTGTGTACAGACATTTAAATTAAATTAAAACTAGAGGACCATTCGTGTACAGACAATAACTGACTACTGAACTATTTCAGGTATATGTGAATGATTTTAATGGAACTTGATAAGGAGTTGTGTTCTAAGGATTTCTAGGATAAGCAGAGGGATTTCTGGGATAAGCAGGAAGGGGAGGGGGGTGTCCAGTTATGATTTTATTTCAGTGTTAGAATATATATGTGGCTTTAAACACAAAGTAATAAAAGTATTTAATTAACTACCACTGTTCTTGCTGCTTTCATTAAAAAGATGCTGTTTTATCTGCACATTTTCTCATTCTTATAATTCGGTGCATAGTGTGTGAGAATGTAATAGCGGTGGTTTTTAAAGCGGTAATGATTTGGAAAGACGTGAATATGTTCAAGAAAAAAGCCACTGTATCCATCATTTTGAAATTTCTGACTTTTGTGCAAATAAAACTGGAAACTAAATTTGTTTTTGGCAAATGGTCGTATCACAAAATTTTAAACACTCCTAGCGCATCAGCATAACTTCATCATAACTTTATCGGCAAATATTTATCTTCTGAAAACCTGTTTGATATAAGCAAATTTTGAATTCTTAGACCAATTCTTATTTCCGACAGATGTAAAGTGCAAGAAAGTCCTTGCTTACATTTTGGTCTAAGTCAAAAGTGTTGCATCTATTCAACTGAAGTTCAATAGACTAAAACGCAAAAAAATACCCGTCCCACTTCAACTTTCGCAAAAAAATTAAAAACCTCGTCCACAATTATAAATCGGAAGGACAACCTTGTGAAGCCGAATTTCCAACGAGTATGCAAAGATTTCAACAAATTATATCCAGTCCGAGAGCTGGTAGATGGTAAATATTAATATCGACCATGGCTTCCCTAGGTCGAAATCACTTCGCTGGTTGCACTATTTGATATGAAATGAGTTTTAAAAAAACATTTACAAGTTTGAATGAGTAAACCTATAACTTTTCCCAGCGTGTTCTCACGTGCCTGATCACAGCTTCGGTGAATCAACTGTAACTAAGTCAACTTAATGAAGAACGCAGATGAGGCTATTTACATTACATCCCCTGCGAAAATTTCTCATTTAACGTTCACTTACGGTTCTCAATCTAATCTAGAACATTTGATGTATTATTTTTAACAGTTCCAACGCGTTCTGTAATGAATGTAACAGAACGAGATCTGTTTTGGGAAGCCCTTCAAATGTCATAGAACAAATTTAGAACTTTTTTCATTCAAAAGAAAAACGTTCTAGGACAGGTTGAGAACCGTAAGTGAGCGTTAAATGAAACAACTTTTCGCAGGGGATGCTTTTCCATCTTGACTTTTGTCTTATTAGACATGGACAGATTTAATCAAATTTGTAATTTTGTCCATGAATTGGACAACTATGATGCGCCCCCCCCCCTCTAATTTTTAAAGAGGTCGGTTCAACACGGTGGTTTCGCTTTTGTCAATTTGTATAATTTGAAGCCTTTTGGTGTTCATATTTTATGCATAAGGAGCTTACCGAAAACAAAATACTGAAAGCATTCAACTGTAAAAACTTCACTGTCCTCTTGTTTAGTAGTATCAATATTAGTATATGTCAACAATATCCCTTTTACTGGGGTTATTTCTTGCAAGATCGTTTACCGTGCAGACTAACCCGAAAATGACAAGCCCGTATAAATTACTAGCTTCTTCACGCTGTAATTAGAAGAAAAAAGTGTTTCTAACAGCAATTATCCAATTGTCTCTTGTTAACCTTCTTACATTAAAAAAACATTTTACTGAAATCTTTTCATTACTGCCATGAAGCAGCATGTAGTTAAATCATTCTGATTTCTGCAAGACTTGGCAGACAACGACCAAAGTTTGAGCCAGCATTCTTTTCTCTCTAAATTAAAAGTTGCTATCTTTAACGATTAAAACAAGTTTTGTTGTCCAAGTTGCTATGGAGCTTGAACAAATGCTATGGACAGACGAAGGTATGAACCGTTTGAGTAAAAAGATGTCATTCCAAGAACAGCGCAGGAAAAACGGGACGTAAGTTCTCTGGTAAAAAAAATTAGCGGCTGGATACCGAGCTCCCGTTTTTGAATTTCTGACTACCACATGAAAACCTGTCCAGTCTGTCTACGTTTCTCAATCTCGTGTACGCAATTTTGCGTTTTACAAAATTTGCCAAAATGCGAGTTTTGTGCGCGAATAATGACAACATTCATGTTCTCTCTTCTATCTCTTTTCATTTTAATGACTGTCAGTTTTGGCTACTTTATTATTATTATTAATTTTTAGATATGCACTCATCTCGCATAATAAAATTTAAAAAGCTTATTTTGTGATTTATTTCTCATCAGTGCTGCGTGCATACCGACACATCCATATGACAAGGCGGAGCACAGGTGTTATGCAGGTCTTGTGCTAGTTCACGCACAGTTTCACACACACACCACTACTTACCATAATATAAAGCCTGGATTATGCTTTCAGTGGGCATCGAACCCAAGCCGCCGCTGTCGAGCAGTATGGTCATAGCCTACCTTTCTAGCGTCTGTCTTGAAATGTTACGTAAGGTTCAGTAAAATGCATGTTAAAAATTTCTTTTCTCAGATCATCATAACTTATTTCTTGGTCCTTTTTGCTTAACAAATGTTATTCAAAAATACTATCTATTGCAATTTTAATAGAATAATTTTGTTTCGTTTAGATGCGTACGAAGACTACAATCTTCCTTAAATTTACTTTAATACAGGTATACCGTACATTCTGAAAGACCACAGAAAGCCCAAAAGACGGTGTCGTATTTCCATGCACCAACTTAGTTTAAAAAGAATTTAAGAGCAAGCCTT